GCCGAGAACATTTATTAACATCTCTAATGTCATATCTATCATGTGGATAGATTTGGTTTACAAATTATTAGCCACTCATATTGCTCCAAGGCCCCAAACTTTACAGCCAAGGCAAAAAATATCTCTAGCAAATCTGATAGGAAGAAATCAGAATAAAATCTCATATGTTCTTTTCCTAAAAAATGAGAACAGTTCAGTCCTTGTTGGATTGTGAAAAACACACAGTACCACCTTATCCACATTTGAATTTATACTATTTGTTAAAATATATGGATAATTCGGATCAATCCACATAATCTGAAATAATTATAATATGCGATTACAATATATGTAGAAGTATTTCACATAATATTTAACTATTCGTCCGATTTAGATATGCAGTGATATATATATATATATATATATATATATATATATATAATATTTCGCATAATCATTAATTATGCGATTCATTTGGATATGCATGCGATTTTTATATCACATGTCATTTCGTATGTTTGGCGATAAAAAAAATATTTTATGACTACGGGTGTCCCAGTTGGCTTCCACAGAGGGGTAGCACACCCACATCGTGTGTTATCTTAGCGATCTTTAGGCCTCGGCCTCCTTTATTGTACCAAAAAAAAAAGAAATTGCCCCAACTAAATATCAACATATATCTCTTTATTTGTAGTAAATATTATCTACATATTCATACTTATAGTGACCTTCTGTTGCTAATATAATTTTTACTTGAGTGTATTAGCTGGATAATACCCTCAGCACTGTACAGATGATCAATCATCAAATTATAAGAAAATGCTACAGTTCCGTTACTTATTCCTTTTGTCGGAGTTTGTAACCATTAAATCAACTATTCCGGACGGTTACATGATGATCTAACTATTACAAAATTCGACTGAATGGTTCCGTAACGACACCGTAGCATTCCCCCAAATTATAACATATGAAAAGCAAAAACTTAATTCATTAGGCGTGTTAAGATACGCATTCTACGAGTAAAAAACATT